GGCAATGTATACTACATAAAGGTGTACCAAAATAGGCAATGTATATTACATAAACATGTACCAAAAAAGGCAATGAGTACTACGAAATCGTGTACCAAAATAGGCAATGAATATTACACAATCATGTACCAAAATAGGCAATGTGTACTACGTGAAGGTGTACCAAAATAGACAATGTGTACTACATAAAGGTGTACCAAAATAGGGAATGTGTACTACATAAAGGTGTACCAAAATAGGCAATGTGTACTACGGAAAGGTGTACCAAAATAGGCAATGTGTACTACATAAAGGTGTACCAAAATAGGCAATGTGTACTACATAAAGGTGTACCAAAAAAGGCAATGTGTACTACGTAAAGGTGTACCAAAAAAGGCAATGTGTACTACATAAAGGTGTACCAAAATAGGCAATGTGTACTACATAATCGTGTACAAAAATAGGCAATGTGTACTACATAATCGTGTACCAAAATAGGCAATGTGTACTACATAAAGGTGTACCAAAATAGGCAATGTGTACTACGTAAAGGTGTACCAAAAAAGGCAATTTGTACTACATAAAGGTGTACCAAAATAGGCAATGTGTACTACATAATCGTGTACAAAAATAGGCAATGTGTACTACATAATCGTGTATCTAAATAGGCGATGTGTACTACGTAAAGGTGTACCAATATAGACAATGTGTACTACATAATCGTGTACCAAAATAGGCAATGTGTACTACATAATCGTGTACCAAAATAGGCAATGTGTACTACGTAAAGGTGTACCAAATTAGGCAATGTGTACTACATAAAGGTGTACCAAAAAAGGCAATGTGTACTACATAATCGTGTACCAAAATAGGCAATGTGTACTACATAAAGGTGTACCAAAATAGGCAATGTATATTACATAATCATGTACCAAAATAGGCAATGTGTACTACATAATCGTGTACCAAAATAGGCAATGTGTACTACATAATCGTGTACCTAAATAGGCAATGAATATTACATAATCATGTACCAAAAAAGGCAATGTGTACTACGTGAAGGTGTACCAAAATAGGAAATGTGTACTACATAAAGGTGTACCAAAATAGGCAATGTGTACTACGTAAAGGTGTACCAAAATAGGCAATGTGTACTACGTAAAGGTGTACCAAAATAGACAATGTGTACTACATAATCATGTACCAAAATAGGCAATGTGTACTACGTAAAGGTGTACCAAAATAGACAATGTGTACTACATAATCATGTACCAAAATAGGAAATGTGTACTACATAATCGTGTACAAAAATAGGCAATGTGTACTACATAATCATGTACCAAAATAGGAAATGTGTACTACATAATCGTGTACCAAAATAGGCAATGTGTACTACGTAAAGGTGTACCAAAATAGGCAATGTGTACTACATAAAGGTGTACCAAAATAGACAATGTGTACTACATAATCATGTACCAAAATAGGCAATGTGTACTACGTAAAGGTGTACCAAAATAGACAATGTGTACTACATAATCATGTACCAAAATAGGAAATGTGTACTACATAAAGGTGTACCAAAATAGGCAATGTGTACTACATAATCATGTACCAAAATAGGAAATGTGTACTACGTAAAGGTGTACCAAAATAGGCAATGTGTACTACATAATCGTGTACCAAAATAGACAATGTGTACTACATAAATAGACAATGTGTACTACATAAAGGTGTACCAAAATAGGCAATGTGTACTACATAAAGGTGTACCAAAATAGGAAATGTGTACTACATAATCGTGTACCAAAATAGGCAATGTGTACTACGTAAAGGTGTACCAAAATAGGCAATGTGTACTACATAAAGGTGTACCAAAATAGACAATGTGTACTACATAAAGGTGTACCAAAATAGGAAATGTGTACTACATAATCGTGTACAAAAATAGGCAATGTGTACTACATAATCATGTACCAAAATAGGAAATGTGTACTACATAATCGTGTACCAAAATAGGCAATGTGTACTACGTAAAGGTGTACCAAAATAGGCAATGTGTACTACGGAAAGGTGTACCAAAATAGGCAATGTGTACTACATAATCGTGTACAAAAATAGGCAATGTGTACTACATAATCGTGCACCAAAATAAGCAATGTGTACTACGTAAAGGTGTACCAAAATAGGCAATGTGTACTACGTAAAGGTGTACCAAATGGTATAACTATAATGTATACCACATAATGACGTATCAATGTAAACAACATTTCACTACGTAAATAATATAGGATACTGATGATTTTATAGTGTACATAAATTAGGAAATGTGATCAGCGTAACGGTGTAATAAAATAAAGCGTGCGAATGGTATATCAGACAAACAAAACGTATTGTATTGATAAAGATAGGTCGCGAGATCCATAAGGTCAAGGTAACACATACTACAGCATAGATTGAATTCGAAATTACCAAGACTGATAAGTGTTTGTCTTAAAACGATGCTTTTATAGCAAACAAATCTCAGGTAAGTTTTTAAAGAATATCATTGAAATTCATTAAAATATATTAACCATGTTATTAATTTTAATTAGTATTATTTGCAGTGGCATACATTTCAAGTGAAATAGGACAAAGATTGTTTGCATTGTGATTCCATGTTGAGTCACAAGGATAGGTTAGGTAATGGATCACTACAATGTTATCATATGTGTACATACGATCGTGTGTCCTGTCGTTAGAAGCAGCACGGCCATACTAGCGACTTGCTCGCCTGCGGCCAAAGCTTGGTATTTTGTGCAAAGAGGACCTGAGGCAGTACATAATCAACACTGTTTTATATCCAATTTATCTTATTGCACGTAATGTGTTCTGTCAAATATAAACCTTTTGATAACAAGTCCATACGTTTTATTCATTAAATTAAATTTGAACTATATAGCGATCGGTATTGATGATTCTAATCACTAACAAGAGTACAGCTGGTTGATAAGATCGTTAAGTGACAATCCTAACCACCGATTTTGTTCTTTTTTATTTATTTAATTTTTTACCTTTCCTTTTTTCTTTTTTTAATATCAAGATTTTTTGGATTGCGTTATCATTAACTTACAGTAACATAACTAGAAAACGATATGATTGATATAAACAGTTGTTCTTCCGTAGACATTTACAAAGCTTAGTTCGAAAATCAAGTTGGTAACATAGAAGTTTGGAATAGTAGTGAGGCAACAAAATAAAAAAAAATACGGACCAACGAGAAAAGATAAAAAGTACTGTATGGTTGTTTGATTATGCGGTCTAATATTTCGCAATTGTTAATGTACATATACACAAGCATAACTGATATTTTCTGAGTTTTACATTCACTGTAGAAATATTGAACGAGTATTTAATTTCTCCCTTTTTGACCGCAAGTGTATTGAAATTAAATCCTCGCGAATATAACCAACTTTACAGTAATGATTTATTTAATATCACATGCATCTACCTCCATGTCAAATTAAAGTTCAAATGATCTGATGTATTCAATTTAAATGACAAAAAATAACGCTTTTATAGAAGTAAGAATTCAACGTGTGATGACTACCGGCGCAAGTGTTAACCTTACCCTACTCAAACTTTTACCAGAAATATATTTTTATTTGACAGCCAGACTATGCATTTCACATAATCTACACTGAAATGTTTCCTGGTGACGATTTAAATAGGATATGTTTCGTGTTCTTTTCTATCTAAATACAGCTTATACAAGCTTGAAAAGCATCAATAATATCTTTTGGAGTGTAACAACTATATAGATTTATAGGTATAGCCAGTTAGCTTATTCGGCTATGATTTCGATTTTTCACATTAAAACAACAAAAGTACGCCTAATATATCACTAAAACTGCCTTCTAGCTCCAGATCTATACACAATGGTAAACATAAGATAGATTGGCATGGAGACCATTTGAAATGTACAAAGAGATTAAGAAAGGGTGTCCGGAAGGTAAATGATAGGTAATATCATCACGTGTTTCTTAAACGTCGTTATACAGAAATGTTAACTTATAAAATGGACCATTTGTATGTTTACCATGCATGAAGACGCAGTAAACACTGTCCCCGAAAAAGAGGACTTGTCCTGCAATAAATACATTGAATGTTTTCTTGTGGTTCCATGTTAAAATTCTATGCCACAGAACCTTAAAAAACAACACATGAAGTAATCGTGTCAGTGCAGCTGTCATGACCATTCTTAATGCCCACTATAAATCAGCCGAGCTGACCAGTCGACTGTCACCTCCGAAACTCGTCGTGTCCACAAAGACATCACAATGATGACAGATCAGGTGAGCGTAGATAGTCAAACGTGTTGCCCTGAGCTCGGACAACTTATTGTCTTAATCATAGTGTTACTCGTCATGTGTGTTGGGTTTAGAGAAGGTCTGGGATTGCCACTGTAATTGATTATCAGACAGAATTTTCCTTCGATATCTTAACCGTCCCTTAAAGACGGCTTGTAATAACGACAGAAAATACACAAAGACATATGGGAGCTTTCACAATTCAGGAAGTCTTTATCAGTTCACCTGTATGGCAACTTATTTGTGAAAGATATTAGTAACTATCGATAAAGCAAATGAAAAACATGGTTCTCTCGAGACAACAGAGGAATTCAGTAGCAGCAATTAGTGATGTTAACCACTATCTCTTGTAGGAATAAATTCTATGTAAACACAACAAGAAAAAAAAATCATCCGTATTTACATATATCTTATATATCTATTACACATCTTATTTGTTAACGTCAATTTCTATTCACTCGTAAACACAGGTAATGTTTTAAACCATATGACAGGGGAGATAATTTTGTGGTTCACATATCACTGTGCTTATACACATTACAGTTCACTTAATTAGAAAAAAATGAAATAAATTATATTCTTGCGTACTTTAATCAACAGCTTATCATTATAGTTCCGTTTCATATGTGTACCTGATGTCTCATGTGTTTTACATATGCTTTGAATATTACTTACCTGACAGTGTGGTTTGTAAGAGGAGCATTCTCTTTTTCCATGCCATGGAGGGCAATTTTGAGGCCCCCCACACTTGTAGCGGCACTCACTCCGTGATATTCCTTGGTAGGAGCCATCCAGGCGATCCGAAACTGGTGACATTCCGACGTTCTCAGTAGCAATAAAAAGACTGGAAGAATATTCCAAAACTTTCTTTTCACATCCATTACAAATTCGTGTATGTTAAGTAGCTATGTGATGTAAATAACACTCACACACATACACCTTAGATTTACTCACGGACAGATGAAATTTACAATATTATCCGTCACAGTTTTGCGTCTTCAAACCAAGACCATTTTTAAAACTTATAATCCTTATCAGTGAAACTCGGAAGTTTTGATCCTCGGTGTTAAAAGATCAGAATAGTTAGAAAAGTTGATATCCTTATATCAAAATAAGAAAGCCTCCATCTTTTTCCCAAGATACTTTTTAGCCTGTCATTCATTTCACAAGGTGGCTGCTGTGACGTCAGTCTTGGGGCACCAATGGAAAACGTCGTTACGAATGATGGATGGTAATGCAGTGTGGAGTACACTAAGCCAGGTAAGTTTCCGCTCAGTGCTATCACGGTCAGGTAAGAAACATTTACTACTACAAAAGAAATGGACATATTGCCATGTATCATTTTTATTATCTAAAGACGTTTCTTGTTATATACAGTTGATGTCTACGTACAGACATCTACTCGCAACAAAATCCAGGGAAGGATAACTCGTTACACAATTTTATGAACGATAATTTCTAAGACCGCCGTTGTATATTGTGAGTTCTGAAATGTCTGTATCTGATGATTGTAAACACACTTGCCTGTTATCTGTCTTTAATGTTTAACTACACTCTTAAGAATGACGAAAACACTACAACAACGCCGTTGGAGTTTTTATACACGTCAAACATACATTTGTGTTGAAATAACTAAGAAAAGTCATCATATAGGTTTTTTTCAGTTGTTGAAGTTTCTGCTTTCTACCAAGTGCTTGAAGCAAAAGGAGTACAGTTTTCAGGAACTAATAAAACAAGCTGTGACTTCTCTATCAAATTCATTTTCTTGGATTCTTTTTTTCAAGATGTAATTCCTTCAAAAATAGACAACAGCAATCCTCATAGTAATTGCTAGCCCATATCTTTATTCTTGATTTTATCAAATTCAGATCAATTTTAAACATCAACTTTTATTATTACATGATGGACGATATAATTGTGCCCTGCGTTACCTACTGAATAATATTTACTCTTGTGTTGTATAGTCGCTGGATGCAGCGTAAAAACCACAATGTATGTATTCATCAAAAAAGTGTGCATGATGATTGGCTTGAATATACAGTCTTATCGTTACTAATACCGGTGTTTGTCTATTAACCCTGTTCACATATATACATGATTAAAATGTGAGGAGACATGTAAGACATCTAGGTGACATGTAATATAATATTCATCCAGAAGCCCGGATGGAATATAGGAATAGTAAAAGCGTTGGACAGCAGTTAAGATATATATATTCAATACTTATATAATTTGTTTATGTTCGTCGTTGGCATGATGTGTAATTGTCACGTGATTTATTTGTAAAATAACTTGTTGCGTATTTATGAAGAAGAGGGCTTAATGAACTTTCTTCCATTGCTTTTATTGAAAAACAATTAAAATATTTTTCAACCAAATGTGTGTATTTGCAAAAAGTGAGGAAAATATCAATTTGATAATTTTCTGTTGGAACTTTTTTGTTCCCATGGCGTCGTCAATGACGTCCAAGTGACGCAAACTACTGCAGGTATAATATGTCAGTTCGGTTGAACTTGCTGAGTTCCTCACGATGTGTATGAAGAAAATTGTATAATTTTAATTATGTCATTATTGTTTGTCAACGTAAAGATCCCAATGTGAGCACACTTAGATTCATGTACAGAGGTAAATAATCACAGAAACAGAAGTAAAACTTTAATAATCATATGCAGCTATTTCTACGGGTTACCATGGGTTACGTCCCTTTAGCGCTGATTGAGTCGTAGGCACGAGAGCTCACATGAAGAATGAGGCTAGTCATGGATGAGTGATTTTCCAAATTACACTCTGTATTAATATGGACTTAGCTGGTACTGTTTTACTCCAGACACCCGTACAGTCATGGTTATATAGGTATCTGTTGTAGCCTATATATGTGTTATACACCTGCTTATACGTAACAGTAAAAATAACCACCTTCACTTATTATTATAGATATTTGCTTTTATTTGGTTTAAAACAAATAAAATTGCGAGAAGATCTAGAATTTGAAAATACATTAGAACAGAACAATTGATTATTATTGCAGCAGTCAAAATTTGAAGATTAACAACTGAAAGCTCTTGATCAAGGATTCGGATTGGATTGGATCAACAACATCTACCATATATCTTAAAGTAACCCATTACACTAAGGAAAGAAGGACAGTGATTAGAAAGTGATAACCACAGCATCCTTAAAAAGACATTTTTTCTCTACTGTGGTAATGCTTCTATCCAATATAGATACAAAGCAATTCTCGAATTCATTGAAGTCGTACATTTAATTTCTCTTTAAGATTTATGACTTACATTTATAAATAACGGTCAATGAGTCAATTTATTCATATAATCCATTTGCTTGGTTGTTGCAACATCAATCCGTGTTCTTAATTTTCAATCAACAAAACAAGTCCGTGATTTTTACAAGTCCAATATAATGATATACAATGTACTAAATGCGATACTAGCCCGCCAACATAATTAAATCTTCTTTTAACCAAGTCTTGAAAGTCAACTATGTCAGGTAAAATCAGAAATGTATTTCTAGTTTTCTTAGTTTCAGGTGTTAGAAAATGCATGTTTTCTATCTATTTTGATATCTGGTTATCATGAGTGTCTAGGAACGTGCTAATTATTACAAATGAATTGATATTTTCTGTACGATGCTTGTACTATGGCATATTTTGAATCGAAATACTGTATCAATTATGGTTGATTAGAGTGGCTGTCTTTATATACCATTTTTCTCAAAAAAAAAAAAAAAAAAAACTCACAATAAATCTTTTCATAACAAACAGTAATGTAGGGGTCTTAATTTTCAAACTGATCTCGCTAATTTTGTGACAAAAATATCTGTTTACTTTGATTCTTTTAAAAACAAAACGTGTGTTTGAGCTATTCACAGCTGAAATATCAACCTATATCGCAGAAAGTAATTTGTAAATCTGTGGCTCTAAAAATGTCATAATTTTTCCTAAGTATGAATATGAATCAACAATTTCAAGTTGTTCGTCAGAAAATGTAAATCTAGCTTGATTCATACATTTCCTTTTTGTGAATATTATTATTTTAGTTTTTTGTGTATTAACATTTAATTTCCAGATTTGACAATAACCACTAAAAACATTCAGAACTGAATCTTTAGCAGATTCAAATAGAATTACATTATCGTATGTATACAAGATAATATTTATTTTCAAAAATACATTAATATTTTCAGAGAAGAAACCAGCTACTTCTTGAAGAGCGGGGATAAAAAGAGGTGTGAAAGTTAACTGCCCGGGGACGTATAGCAATTAGTACCTATGTCCTGGACACGGATAAACTTGATGATGACGAGTGTATGGACCATGTTGGGATGGCGTAGACAAACGTCTGAAATATGAGCTGTGCACAGATGTATTATAGCAATATTGTGTGAAAATAATTACTCTGTGTTCATGGAAGGGGATATAAATAGCCATGGTATATAATGAATTTATCAATTTAGAAGATCTTACTTGAGTAACTCAACCCCTACCTGTTTATATAGATACGTACAAAAGTATATGCACGTGACTGTATCTACATTAAATTGGTATATGGAATAAATTTCTAATGAGTTGATGTTCTGTATAACCCTGCACAGTACAGCAATTATCATTACGGCCATTACCTAAGGATCACTTTGCCCGATAGTTATTGACACGGAACTGATGGTACGAATTAGTTATAGAAATATGGATATTGACTGAGAAACAATGAAAAAAAAAAAAAAAAAACAAAGCTAACAGACAACAAAGAAATTAGCTGTGACTTGTACGTAATCACTTCTGTACACTTTTTTTCAGAAAATCTAATCGAATAGATATTCTTGATGAAAAAAACCCCCAAAAAACGAGACGTTAAAATAAACTCCAGTGGTTGCTTATATTCACAGTCTGAGAGCTATGTTTTAATTATAGCTATGCCGTTATGTGGAAATGTTGTTTCTATCTTATTATTCGTATCGTTAATTACATATAAAATCCTTTATTTCGAAGATTTTAAATACACTTTAATCGGAAAGCAATATGAGTATTTACTATATATAAACAGTAGTCCGTCTTAATGACTCATCGATACATGTACGTAGCTGCCGTGTTTACCTGTACAGCGTTGGGACTGTGAACTGAAATTATGCGCCATCTTCACCTCAGTAAAAAATGACACAACTACTTTTTAATTCAGGTTTGTCAAAGTTATACCAATGTGTTGGGAAGTTACTATACTTGATAGTCAGAGGCAAACATTTAAAGATTTATATATAATAAAGCTTTTATTTCACATGTCACAATAATCATTTTGTTAAAAAATTAGTAAAACTATGAAGGAGATTCATGTGTAAGTATCAACTAAAAGATGACGTAACTAATTTTCATCTAAAATTTTTTAAATCATGTATTTGTAACGAAGAAATGTTAAATTTACTTATCAGAGGCATACATCTCAGAATTTTTATCTACAAAACGATATATTAATATTTTTTCTGAAATGCCGGTATATCATTTTACAGTAAAAATAATCGTGCACCTGGGGCGAGAAATCCGCGAATGCGCGATATGGTATGTCCTCAATAGCTGCATATGAAAAATAACATCAGAAAGTCATTTTGCTTGTATATAATTTGGTGTGATTGCAATTGAAAACTTCTATAAAACTTTAACTCATGATTATTTTTAAAAGCATGTTTCCAATCCATAAATTCTAAAAAAAACACGTGTTTTTCACCAAACACATTTTCATGATATATTTACATTATTATGTATCCTTGAAGTGCAATTGGAAAATACTCTATTCATTTTTACTTAACAACCTCTTGATCTATTGAAGGCACATGAAAATCCTTAAATAGTATTGTGTACAAAGTACTGACCACAACTTTACATGAT